TCAAAGCCTGGCATTATTTTACGTTATGTCAGTAAAATATCTCTATGGCAAAGAGTAGTATCTTTTGTTGCTAGTTTAATATCAAATAAGCCATAAGTCTTTTTCTTATTCTATACACTTGTATAGCATGCATAAAAGATAGTAGTGGTTTATTTTCGATCAATTTCAATGTAAACTATTATGTATATCACCTTTTATCAAATCAATCGCTAATCTTGTGGGGTGCAAAACATCTGCGCTTTTAAGATATTACCTAAAATAAAATTAGCTTATTAAGTATATCTAAGGAAATAAATGTATGTAGACACTATTATGATGCTATTGTGACTCAAACATACTGACATGTGTTAAACTAGTTTCTATATCATTTATTGTTCCAATACGTATACCTTCCTTGCCCTGATTTCTCATAATTCCGTGTAATTATATAATAAGCATCTTTTGATTTAATGATTATATGGATGAATCAAAACTATAGATCAACGTGGAAATGATGTAAACTCCAATATACGTCTTTAGAACGATATTATCTTAGTAAGTGCTAGCTCTATCTTTCGTTCAATTGGTACCGGGCTGTACCATTATGCAATATAAATCAACCAAACAATGGGTAATAATGATATAGCAGCTCAGTATCTAAGTTAACGCATTGAATTGCGATCAATAATTGATAATAAATTTAAGCTTGATAGAATATTTCTTATTTAAATTAATCGCTTTGCTTATTTGCTATTTAAGTAAAATTTCAAATGTAATTAGTGAAGTTTCTGCCAGCACAATAGAAAAATTTCGATAATAATTTTAATATCGTAGATGATTTAATATTGTACGAAGGGTTCTGAATAATATACTTTAATATGAGTCGATTAGAGCTGTAGTAGAACTAAATAATGTGCTATAGTCAGGGCAGAAAATGATTTATTTCATATTCGCAGACAGCGATATGGATCTTCTATTCCATCAAATGAGATAAGTTATGTAACAATTGACCGTATAGTAAACTTTTCAATTCATATCTAACGTAGTAAGAGGCCTAAGCTACAAAAAAAATCATGAATTTCCAAATATGAAGTAATAAAGGGCGAAATAGTAAAAGTATACTATATCGTATTTCGCTATAGCCCTAGGATTTCCTCCACATGAAAAAAAGAAATGCTGGGGCAAGACTGAATAATTTCCTAACTGCTAGATGACCTTATATAGTAGAACCATATGGTTTTATTACTAAACTAAAAATAATCTGAACTTAAACATTTGCCTGTAAATTATCTCAATATAAACTATAACTTACCAATTAAGTAGTATTTAGCGCTTGATATTTAGACTGGAATACGAACAAGCAACGATAGAATAATAATACAAAGTTGTACGTACACTTTTTTACAAAGATGATTTACTTTATCATCTTATGAATTCATATTTGAACAATTTTTAAATTTTATACCTGTATTTATGGAATTATTGACGATCCTTGCTATTATTACAGTAAATTCTTAAATACGTTTGCGTTAAAATTGTTAGTAACAGAGAGTGTAAACAACGTCCAATTGAGGTAAAATTAGTGCGGATTTACAATATAAATTTTAATCAGTATCTAATAAGAGAATATTAAATTTTAACCAGCCATTGATACTCAAGTATTGCTATTTTCCTGGACAGAAAAATTTAATAAGTTTCTACAGAGTGAAAGCAAATTTCCATAATTCTAGGTTATCTTACTTTCAAAAAAATTTTCTAGATATCGATCTTTTAAGTCAGATCAGTAGTTTTGTATACTTAGACCAAAGCCGATAATCAAATTCAAAAAATTATGTCATCGTCTACAATATTAGAGTGTAGAATTCATAGCATCTGTTTTATCTGATAGATCGACAGTTAGTTCAAGTCTCTATCGAATACAATCATCGATATCTCTTGGAATAAAGCCATTATATGGCTCTCTATTTAAAAATTTTTATTTCATATGCAGCTAACAAAATCCTTTCAAGCAGTAAAGCATAAAGTTTATAGTTTCGTCTCAAAAGCATTTTATTAAAGACCTGGTAAAGTAACGGTACTCTAAATATAATTTCTTTAAAGAATTAGGAAACTATACTAGCGAGTAAGCTGTTGTCACTTTTGTTGGCTTAACAGAGAAGTATTTTAATATCAACAAGGGAAATCAGATTCTTAATAATGATCTTCTAGAAAGAAGTAAAGACAGATTTACCTACTCATTAAATTTACGATAACTATGCATAAAATCATATGCGTTAATGATGCTAAAGATGAAAATATATTTAATTAATTCAATTGGTACATGTACTGAAATATCTGAAAAAGAACAGTTTACGGCAAGCTATATAAAATTAAAATCGAGCAACTACTACTAGAAGAGTCACTAAACTTCTACTAGTTAAAATCTCCTAAATATGATTTCATTCCTCGTACCAAACTCAATTATAAAAAGTTGAATTTGAATGCTATGTCAGTATTGTATATATACCTTTTCCGGAGAGAACATCCATACAAATTTTTAGCAGAGCAAAATATAATCTTCCACTGCAAAAATTGCGGATAATATGGTATTTGTAGTGGATTAAATTACAATCTAAAATGAAAATGATGTAACCTACCACTTTTTAAGGTTAAGCAGTATACAATAACTACCACAATAATAATATGCTAGAATAGAATGAGTACAGTATATGTTTACAAATCTGAGCTAATGTAGTGTGCACTATAGGAGAATCTTAGCTTAAAATTGAAGGAATTTAACAAACGCGTATTCTTAACTCTTAACTTCTCAATATACGAGTCCTGCGAGTAAGATATTTATTCCATCTAAGTCCAACTTTACTACGATCATACTAGTCACTTTCTGTATCAAAGCAAACGGATATGTCCACATTCCTCACTAAATTGTAAAACATTTACTATTACATCTACAATACTGTGCTAATACGCTTACTTGTTGCTTTTAAACTCTATCTGATAATTCAAACGGGATATATCATTGCTATTCAAGGTCATTAACTTTATATAATGAATTCTTGAAATTACTGGTAGCAAAAAACTTTACTGAATTAATAATTAACATTAGCTAATATGCATGTATTTCACTCTCCAAGTGATCAGCACTAAAGCGAACAACACTATAGACCATCTCATCTTCTAAATAGCCAAGTTTTGGTTGCTAGGTAACTATTCCCAAGACAATTTATCCCCTTTATAGGTAATATACCAGCAATCTCCAATTTTATAAGCCAGCAATCATTACTTCTAGAAGTCTAAAGAAATAATTCTAATGCTATTACTAATATATTTTATATTGTATATGTTACAATATATTTATTAACTGGTGAGATTATGTGTTTATGGTTTGTCTTCAAGTTTCGTATAAATGACCGATCATCACTTGGCAAAGAATTAATGTTATTAATTTATATCCTGTTTTTGATGAGTACTAAAGTATTTCATGTTGCACATATACCCTTCTTAACTTACTGGTGAGATCATGTGTATATGATTTATTAATATATTTCTGTAATAGATTAATTAAGAAAATAAAAATTTAGCGAACGGTAAATTAGGATGAGAAGGCTCAAATACCTTACGTACAGTATCATATATTTTAAGCCATGACTGATAGCCTCTAAACTTTCTCATAATTATCATCATTATGGAGCGATTTCATAACATACGAGTACATCTCACTGTTTATCAATAGAAATTAAGCGATCATATGTAGCTGAAAAATAAGCAGCGTAAGGCTATGTAATTCCCAAAAATATAAATCCCGTAGCAGCAGTGAGAGTATTACAGCTTTATATGAACAATCCGTTGTCATATAGTAAAAAGTGAGAAGTAGTGATATGAATGGGCTGTTATTTTTGCCGTAATATTTCCAGTAGTAATCATTCCTTTTACAGGAAACGGCTAGCCAAAATTAGTGCGGTAAGCCTGGTCAGAAATAATAGGTACAGTACCGCTAGTTGAAAGATCAGCAAATTCATTCAATTTAATATTTTTTTGACAGTCAATAAATGAAGAAAGGAGAGTAGTTTCTATTAGAAATTGGAAAGATACGTCAGTGCGCTAGCCGGTAAATTTGTTCAAGAGATGCAGACTGCAAAGTTACTATCCTGCACTACCGATGTAAGTTGTAGTTGTTCATCTTGTAGCAGCTTTTCATTTTGGAAATAGACTGGATAGAAATATATTGACTGTACGATGTATATTTCTACATTTCAATCGAACAAGCCACATTGCTTTCACGCATATAACATAAAATACTTAATTACTTAGCAACGATCACTGCCAACAAAGTCAATAAAGATCAAAAGAAAGTGTAATTTCACGTAAAATACAGTTCTACAGCGGCTTATCGTAAAACATTGCCCAATATATAACTATGATTAAAGAAGTTGAATTCCTTCGTTATCATATAAAATGTAATATTAATTTCAAAATAAAATAAACTGCGTAAATTAATCAGCTGTAAAAGCATGCTTTACTGCCTATAATAAACTATGCGTTAAAATTATAGCATTTAATACCATATTAGTGCAATACTATAGTTCAGCTCATGTCCTTTTAAGCTACCTTCGGATGTGAAAACTTTTAGAATTATATTGACTAGTAATGTTTTCTATATCCCTTTTGTATCATTGAATTCGTCATTTGTAACCGTAGTCAGTTCATACTTTAGACAGAAGGCTAATTCTCAGTTGGAGATCGAATTGTTCGTTAATCCATCGTATATAGGTACAACGTTTGGATGTTAGAGGATGTACGCCAGAAATATTCACTAGCATAAACTCTTTCTAGCAATTTTGACCATCATTTACACTTTATGTAAGCACCAGCCTGCACATTTTCTTTCTCATTTAGTCCCTGCCACAAATGATAAAAACTATTTTCTTCCAATAGTAAAATTTAAGTGAATCTGTTCCATCTTAAACTATAACATTAAATAGAAAAACTTTTAGACACTAGTATCTTAATACCTCCGTTTTGAGATGGCGTGTGAAACTGAAACAGAGGTCCCCGAACCGAATCCACATTGGGTCAATTCAAGTTTGATAACAGCTTGGTCGACGGCTTTCCAAATCCATAACTATTTTTTTGCCGCCTGTTTCCTCATCTTGACTGTTTACGCTGGCATTTGTCTGCTGACATACGGCAAAGTTTTATTTAAAAAGCATTTCTACTTTGCCATTAATGGCATGCTATTATTTCTTGGTATAGTTCGAACATGCTTTTTAATAATTGATCCATACGAATCTGCTAATGCTCTTCATCGTTATGGTAATGAGACCTACATGCTACCGATAGGATCACGTCTGCTATTTGGATTGGGGTATCCGTGTTTAACATCAGCTTTTTCACTCATTTTTTTGGCTATTTTTAACTGTGTTAGAGTCAAAGTGGTTTCTCCTAAAATACATCGTCCCGTGGTTATCATAGCAATCGTAGTAATTCACTTTACGGTAAGAAAATACAAACAATATTATACTAAGAAATTCAATTCGACAGAGTTTATTAAGATCAAGGTTATGACACAATATGATACTGAAAAGTATTTTTACCATATCTTAAATATTCTTCAACATAGCAATCTGCTTCACGGGCTGTTATTAATAAGAACTACCCTTCTAGTGCAAGTTTCTGCACCCTATTTTAATACCTGTAATGTATGGGTTCTTAACCCAATTATGTAATTTATGTGAACCTTATCATCCTTTTAGCTAATGTAATTGATACTTAATTTATTAAGACATGCAGTTCCACTCTATATACTGCTCTATCACTGTATTTTTCTTACAAATGACTACTGTAATTAACTAAAATCACTACAGCACTACTCCACTTTATTTTATTACACAAACAACAAAAGAAAATATCAATCAGTACATTTTAGTGATTAGGCTAACTTGATCTACCATACTTCATTTTTCGAGAATAAATTGGCCAGTAGCATCTACTGCATTCTGCAATTATAGAAAATGGCAACAAGACAATAAATAATCACATTTTCTGAGTTAGAATCAAAGCCTACTTTATAACTTCTGCATAATCGTGTGTACTTCAAACTCGATACTATTTAATAGCCGATATGTTGAACGGCATTGTGATTTTATTACTAGGAATAACATATCCGATTATAAGTGCAACGCCCCATTTTAGGAATAACTATTGGACGCTTTAGTTTAGTATAACTTACACTTTAAACAGATACAATCATAAGAAAACTATAAATTATCACCAAGTAAAATCGCGATAAAACCATTGGGGGTACAGCAGTAGTCTGAATTACTAACAAAACAATTCCTTCATTTATTCATAGATTGTACTGGTAGCGGATATAACTACTGCGCTCTGTGGTAACGCTAAAATGTTACTGGTTGTATGTCAAAGCTTTTTCATCATTTGGGGAGTTATCCTTTGTACAGCTTATTTAGTGTGTGGATATCGTATATTAGCATTTACAAGCAGAAATAGTAAAACCTTAGTGACACTCTCGGCAAGTAGTACTTATTTCAATATCCAGGAACAAAGTCTGCAAAAAAAGTCGATTAGCGGTAAAGTATCCAAGGCAATCATTACATCAACATCTTTCCCTAAATCTATACCAAAAACTGTCCATAAAACTTTAAGAATAACCATATTAACAGCATTATTGGGATTAATATGCGTTATACTGAACTGTTATTCTCTCTTTGGAATCTATGGGGTCTTAGCACCTCCGCATTTCCCAGATCCATGGCTATGGTTGATTTATCAAACGATGTTTCGATTTTTTGAGCTATCTATGGCTGTGGTCATGGCGTATACTACCAACGGATCCAAAAAGAAACGCCCTAAAAGTTCCCGGTCTTCATTTAAAACTGCAGCTGATGGATTGAGTGCCTCTAAGGCATAGTTTCAGTGGCAAGATCTTGCATTATTAAATTTACTTTGATGAGTTAGGTGATCGATGTTAAGGAAAAGTGGCCACTAGCCTCACTTTACCGAAAAGTAACATTATCGCCTCAACTAAATATTAAAGTTAAAAATATTAATATGCGTATTTTATACGCATCAGCTGTATTGCAAGTATTGTCATGACTGCTGATCTTTCATCCTAACTACATGAAAAGCAGTCAGTGATAAATTTTTACCAAGTGGAATGAATTGTCCTGTGCCTATTTTTAATAGTGAACGTTATCTAAGAGATATACGGTAATTATTGCAACCTAGTTACTTTTTCAATAAATCTTATTAATATACTATAAATCCTTCATTTGCATGCTGATAGAAGACAACGATTTAATCTTTTATCTACTAAAAGTAACTACACTAAACCAGATTTAAAATTTATACCCTGATTTAGAAACAAAATTGCTTTGAAGTAAAAGTTCCGTCATCGAATAGCTTACTGCGTTCGCCATTAAATTGCTCTTATGTACAGTGCTCCATCGTAGCAATTATAGTTTAGTATTAACCTTCAAATAAGAACATTTATTTGTTTGGCAAATGCCTTTATAATGATGGTGGCTAGACTTCTTAACATAGTTAGAAACAAAAGTAAACTATAAGAGAAGTAAGGCCGGTCAAAAGTGCTTTTAATATAATATTGCATTACGATTTAACAGCACAAATGAAATATTAATATAAAGATTGAAATTATTCAAGCTACACTCTTTCCAAGTTGAACGGATGCTGAGCAATAAGAATTTTTCAAAATTACTTTTACACTGGATAAATCAAAATAATGAAAAAGAATACACTGTACAAATATTGAAGGAAGTGGTATCAATGTTATATTTTTAGTTTTGCTAGTTGCTAGTCGATATCGATTATGGAATAATGGTCGAACGGAGTTGTTAATAGGATTGATCAATAATATAACTGTTACGGTCAATCCCGGATATGCATCGACTTCACTCTATTAGCTAAACGATATAGAAAGCATGCTATAGTTAGCATTAAAGTATTCAAGATCAGTTTTGATCAAGTGTTTGAAATTAATCCCATAAAATGATTTGCTAGTTACTGAACTTGAAAATTGCTGTCTACAAGTATATAGAAATGAATAATATTACGAAGTTAGTTCTCGATATCGTTTCCAGATGAAAGTAAAAATATGATTCGTTAAAAAAATTGCAATTACTCACTCTGCTTAAGAATGGTCTCATCATGTAGCATGATTGACTATATCTTGACTCGATCTCACTAATAAAACTGTGCCTAACTAGTTCTAGGTAAAAATCGGCTTTATTACAGTTTAAGATAAGGAGCTTTATGTAAAGTATGGACTTACTAAAGGTAATATTAAGGTGAACGTTAAATAGATTAAAGTACTGAAATTCCTTCAGTTTTGTTCTCATATTTTAAAAAAGTTTTCGTTTGCTTACTGAGATACAACTTTACAATATCTTCTTCATAATCATTACGGCTTATAAACCAAATCTTTGAAATTAATACTGTAGCAATTAAATAGCCCAACCACACTTTAAAGCTAGAAATAGAAATTAATCATTGTCGGCATTTGGTTAATTTAAAGACTAGAAATTGCTATCGTAAAGTACTAAACGTCCGTAATCAGTTTCTATACTTAAATAACAAAAACCATCAAATTTTTGAAACAAATTCTACCGAATATACATCTACTCTACTTTAGTTAATCATGCTTCAAAATGACCTAATCGTAATATTTATTTTACATTGCCAACGTGAATATAGAAGATATTAAGATGCTGAAATTTATCAACACAGATCATACTCCACTTCATTCGGGAAGATTGCGTCATAAAAATATTAGTAATTAATTTATATGAGTGAATTTAACAAAATTTATAATTTAGACAATAATTTATAAACTATGCTACGCTTATTTTAAGACTATTGAGGCATTCGATACAGTTTAATTTTAGCAACAGGAAAATATAAGAGCTGCAAGAAAATAAATAAATTACATAGATAAACATTAAGTGTTTATGTATGTGCAATAAACAGGACAGCTATTAAAAGGATTATTATAGTATGCGTAATTATTTGGCCATATATCGTACAGATAACTCGGTACAATGCAGCACGCTACATATTTTTAAGGATAAATTCAAATTTTAAACCCCCCAAAATTATAATCAGTAATAATTTTAGTAATGATAGAAACTTATTACAACGATGACCATGTAAACATCTCAACAAACTAGAATATGTATAGCATTATAGATTATTCTGTTACAGATATTAGAAGCCAATTAGATACTATAACAAAATTTTTTTACAGTTCCTCTTGCATCTTCGCTTCTATTGAATAGCATGATTAGATCATACATTGATAGATGTTATTTAGTGATAAAGAAAGTAAAAATGGGACACAAAAATCGAGATATCCTCCACTACTTGTAAAGTATTGTTAGCATTATCACATTACATAAAATGATTGTTTAATAAATTGAGAATCTTTAATATCTATTATAGTATTTAAATTTCGTAAAACCACCTCAATTAAGCAATGGCAACAGCCTAGATTAGTTTTTTCTGTCTCAAAGCATAATGAACTGTAAGAATTTCATAAATATTTGACAGAAAAGAAACACCTGGTGCACGAACTAAAGCCAGGAATTTGTTTTTACAGACTCGAATTTCACTAAAACATCTATATTATATAAAAACAGTATCCTTCATTACTTCAATACTATTTGAAGCTATACAGAATCGGTTAGACTATTGCTGATTTTAAATCTATTTAAAGATAAGAGATTTTTTTATTATTATAAAATTTACTATTAACATTTGAAACCAACTTAAAATATGACTGCACCTAATTATATTGTGCTGATGAGCAATAGAAAGGATTAAATCTGACAAGGTAGGACTGTATATCATACCGACCCTATACTTTCCAATCCGCTGTGCGAATTGCAGTAGTTTTACTAGATAGAGTACCATTTTTTGATGGTCGATTAGTAGTATATGCCATAACAACAGCCATACCTAATTCTACTATTCTAAAAAGACTTTGATACATGAGCCAAGGCCAAGGTGCTGGAAAATGTGGTGGTGCTAAAACGCCATATATGCCAAATAGTGAATAAATATTCATGATAACACAACACATACCTAATATCGCAGAATACATCGTGATTCTAGTTATTTTTTTTACACTTGTACACACTGCTGTTGATTTAGGAGCTATAGAAGACTTCTTTCGTAGTCTAACATAGGAAGAATTTGGCATAATACCGGCAGTAGTGGATGATGTTGATGTTGATACTGTTGCCGATTGCACTGCTAGTACTTTATGGCTGCATTTAGTAAAGGATAAAATACGATAGCCACAGATTAGGTACGATACACAAATAACTGCACCCCAAATAATGAAGAAACTTTGACAGACTATCAGTAAATCTTTATATCCGCCACAGAAGGCAACTGTTGTATCAGCTGAGATAACAATCTAAAATAGGAAAGGTCAAGCACGGCAGCTATTAAAAATCATAAAATTATGAAATTGATCTATAATTTTGTTTTGTATACTTTCAGAAATTTATTTACGATTTACAATAGCTATTTGGCATTAAATATATCCACGAAATCTATAGCCTAAAGTATAGGAAGATCAATCTAATATGCTGCCCACTGCAAAAACTTAAGCCTTCAAGTATCATCACATTCTTCTCTATCATCAGATCGGACGTAAAACACATCTACTGATAATTATGTAATATAAGCTACAGATGGTTCAAAATTAACAAGATATTCTATATATTATCAATAAAATCATATGAAAGCGTTAATAAATATTTTAAGTACAGGAAGCTTGTAATTGAATGCAACAAGGCTTTACAAGGCCCAATAAAAGATACTTTGTGTTCTTCAAGTAGTACATTGACTACCATATTAGAGATTCGTTCTGCAAACTGAAAGATTTACTTTTTTACAGAAGTAGTATTTTTAATTTGAATATAAAAGGATCTGATTTTTATATTATGCCTTCTGTTTTCAATAAATAGAAATGATTGATTTATAGTCATTCATCAACTGGAATTCACTATTAAAAATTAATTCACATAGAAAATGATAGGGACATCAAAAAACAATATAAGACCGTTTGCTATCAATTATGAAACTAATCCACTGCTATTTTTGCACCAATTTGCTGCGATGGCATGATTGAAATACTGATGAGAGAAGAAGGATAGTAGTAAGGGTAGCTCATAATTACTGATGTAATAATTAAAAACAGTGTCAAATTCTACTTTAAATAGCGAATCAACAAGCGAAAAGTAACACCGATTAACTAGGGATGACTAAACCATATAGATTCCATCATTTTTAGAAAAGACGGCTAGCCACTAAACTAATATTTACCATATAATGTTACAGTTATGTGAATAAGCAAATTTTTCACTATAATACATACTTTCTAACAGACAATTTCATTAAAATTAAAGGCTATGCCCGTTGCCTAATTGGAAATATATCATTTGATATTTTCAATTTAAGAACATACGATAATATTTGATTTAATTTCAACCCAAGCCCTTAGTCGTGCTCTGTAAAATTGGTAACGCTATTTTTATGCCATGAAATTAGTGCTATTGTACAAGACAGATAATTTATTAGTATATCTGTAATAGATATTAACAAGGTTATTAACATCATATTGCTAGATCGTTATATAAATTTTATCTCAGGCGCTAGTATGTAGGAAAAGCGTTGTAGAAGAAAACTATAGGATACTACTCGGGCGTTACATAATTTAGCCTAAAATCTAATTTAAGTAAATAATTTTCAAGTCTAGCTGCTTCAAAATCAAAAATACAATTATCGTAATAGTGACAGTAAATTAATGGTAATCATTTAAGCATTGGAAATTTAGAAAATGTGATAAATTCTTTAAGATCTGGCTAAAATGAAATTTTGGCCATGAAAACCTTTTAAGGAGCATAGGAAATAAAACTAGATTAACGATTAGATCATGACATAAACTTACAGCAAAATGAAGCGTTATGATAGATATAATGAGAGCTGGATGTTGTACTTTCTTAGAGACAGCTTTGACTTTAACGCAATTTATGATAGCTAAGAATATTAAGGTAAACGCAGAAGTTAAGCAAGGATAACCTAAGCCATGAAGAACTCTAGTTGTCACCGGCAACAAATGAGTATCATTGCCAAAACGTTGCAAACCATTGCCCGACTCATAGGGATCATAGATGAGAAAAGCCGTTCTTACTACAGCAAAAAAGATCAAAAGGAAATTTATTGCCAAAAAAAAACGCTTTTTAAAGACTCTTCTACCATGATCTACTATTGAAACGAGAGCATATATACCAATACATCCAAAACATGTCGCAAAAAAGTAAATATGAAATTGAAATACGATAAACCAAGAATGTGTAGCACTTGAATTAACCCAGTGTGGATTAGGTTCAGGTACAGCAGCATCTACTTGACATGGCATATTTATTGTACAAATTTATTTTTATCGACTAAACTAACAAAGCAAGACAGTGAAAAGAACGGGGGAAATGATCCAGATATATCCAATTAGGAATAAATGAACAAAACCGATGATCAAAGGATTTTCGAAAGTATTATTACTTACTAGTGCGTAATAGCAAATTTAAGGCTTAAAAATTTTGTCGTTCTTACTTCAAAAATAAGTACAATAAGTGAAAAAGGAATAAGATATCTAGAAATATTTTATCTCCTTGTATTTGTAATTTGAAGTTTACTTCACCGACTAAGAAGTAATTAAATGTTTAAGAAAGTATTCGTAAGAATAAAATTTTAAATTATTTCACTGCTGTAACTATGCATGGAAAATCTTGCAAACGCAAAGAGAGAAATAATAAAATGATAATGGTAAAGAAGAAATGTTTATGGAGATAAATTCAGCTCTAACCGAGGCTAGTATATAAATCACTGCACCGAAGTAATAAATCAATTACACAAATTTTTATCAGTTTAACCAATATTAATCTAAAAGACGCTGGCAATAATAAACCAAAGGCTAACAATGTGCTGACTTTTATAGCAAATAAAGTGGGATGGAGACATGTAGTCAAAAATTGCAAAGCTTAATATAAAATCTTTTAAGTTTTCTGAAATATGATTATTAATAATTCCTGTGCCGGAACAAGTGCTATAGAATCAATGATATTACTATATTATTAAATGCTATTTTTTGTTGATATCGATAAAAATAATGACAAAAAATAATTTATTAAATCCTTGAATAAAATAATAAAATATTAATGAAGACGAATATCACATACAGCTACAAACTTAAATCAGTTCGACTAGGCCTTGCGGTCGATGACAGCTATCGACCACATTAAAAATCAACAATTATTTATGCTGAATTATATTCAATGCTATCGTAAATAAAAAAAGGTTGGCATAATAACTCTTCTATTGTTACTATTTTGTAGATATATATTGTCATCATCATCTAGGAAAATAAAATCAATGGAGGCCTTGACACTAGTACCCCTCCCTATATACTATATCTACTGCTTGATTAAAATATATCTACGACTGCCATCAGGGGCTAATATGAAAGTAAGATTTCGTAGGACAAAACTCTACTGTAGGTCAAGCTGTTTCTGATAATAATTGGTATGAAACAGGTTAAAATTTAATATTTTTCCGGAGCTTAAGCTCATTTTTCATCATCAATATTGATTACGACCCGAAGATATAAAGTTGAGAATTATTTATTTATGTATCGATGGGTTACTATCATGTCTGACCAGATGTTACTGCTTTTATTGATAAGTACTGTTATATTATGATATTATAGAGTGAGATAATCAATAAGATTGAAAAGTTGTTATGATCATCAATATTAATACCAAGATACTGTATGCTAGTTTTTGTAAGGAATAGTGAATTAGAGCGGAAGACATACGTAATATTACGGCTAACTATTGCTCTAACAGAATGGTGCTGTAATATTAGATTAATAGTAGTATTATTTATTCTAAACTTTTCCAATTCATTCAATTAGCTTGATATTGAATCGAAACAATTACAAAATTAGCGTTAACTCAAATAAATTATTTGAATAGAATGCATGAGACCTCAACTTCTATTAGTCTATATTCACTATCCTATTATTTAGCAGATGTTTTCCATCAAATGTCAATTAATATAGATAATTATTATTATCTATTCAAAATGTTATCATATTATAATTTTACCATTTGGCTGTTTTTTAATAAACAATTGGCTTATATAACTAATTGGAACTGACTAGACCAATTTCAATGATTTATGGGAAAGAACCATTAGGAAGTTACACTCATATTCACAGATATTAGTAATATTTCATGAACATGTAATCATGATCTCGCCCTTTGTCATTCTCTTCATTGACGAGCTTGTGTATTATAATTACTTATGGAGTATAATTTTAACTACAAGAATACTTGATCAAAACTCTTTATGGGAAAAATTATGACGATTCTATCTTCAACGTTGCAAAACTTAAAATGTGTAGTCAGTCTTATATATGAGTGTGCTATCCACAAGTACGTTTGTGAACGAAGAACTTTCTTCTATTCGATTTGATTATAGTTTTGCTCCTAGAATTCTTATTAGCCTACTATAGTTTATTTTCATAGGCAAAGCGATATACCATTGAATAAAGTTCAATTAACCCTACAACAGACGATGCTATTTTAAACGGATGATGTTACTGCATCAAGAATTATAACTTTAATTTTTACATATATAAAATCAAACATCATAAAATTGATATAAAATCTAATAAAATTTAATCAATAACTTGTATGTAGGAATCTTATATTAAATTTCGAAGGTTAGAGTTTTATTAGTCTATCACCAAGCAATTAGAGTTGACATAGGTATTCGTCAGTGTCACGGTGCGAACTACCGTGAAGAAATAGATATCTAAATTTGGTTAATATAATATAGTGATATTATATTACAACTAGTTACTTACAATAGGAATTACTCTAATTACAAATGTGTTACAGTAAATTTATTGCTGTGCTGTAATGTGTGCTGAAATGATTCTGTGAATGGACATATTGTAGTCCGACTGTGAAAAACTAGTTAGTAGATGTTCTCACTCAAGTATTTTTATAAGATGACTTGTGAATGTTAGCTGCTGTAGAAGGGTATATAAACCCGTCAGATAGTTGAATAAAGCAGTTCTCAATTGTATAGTTGTTTTAACGTAGAATCAAAGGCGTCTAAATTCTTGTGAGTAGGGATACTGAATCCGGGAGACTATAGAGATTTAGAGATTTGTTTTACGTTATCCTTGTCACGAAGCTGGTTTGTGATAGTCAGGTATAAATCTATCTGGCCGACATCCTGTCTCCTATATTTTTCGATATCCATCAAAAATAAATTTATTTTTTTCTTTATAAACAATGACTTAAAAATGAATATATATCGAAATTTATTAACTGCTTAAATTTGCTGAACTAGACAATCACGTTATATGACATGATATAATAATTACAGTAGTTGGAATTTAGCACTGAACTAAATCATGATTTTATTCAAAATAATATAATAGGCTGACAGCAAATCTAAACCATTCCTTTTTAAAGATTTTGTTCGTGTTAGGATAATCTCTTATTATTTGCGATAAATTATTATTACTTAAGTAAGTCATAGTTTGTTACTTTCATAATTACAGAATCTGAAATTATACCCGTCAAAGGTCAATGTAACATCAATTATGCTATCATACAATTAAGTCGTTAATGTCAACTAGATGCGGTATCCGACAAGAAAGTTTATTTTTAAAGTTCTTCAATTATCACACTATAGGTGCGTTGACATCGCCTCGATTTTACTAATTATACTGTAGAATACTCAAATTATCTAATTGTTGTTAAGAACAAGAAATAAAAGGTACAACTATTTACTGCATTCGTATAATTATTGAAAGTTAATTTACAAGATTTGAAGCGTGCAGTATGAATCGTAACAATTATGTAATCTGTAAATTATCTGCGATAAAGTTGGTAGTGCACAGAAGATTACCTAATTAGCAATTGCTCTGCAAATTTAGTTATGAGGCACTTATCTATTTACCGCAAAAGACTTACAATGAATTATTGATGAATAGGAAGATGATCAAGTCTTTACTCAACATCAAATAGCTGGAGTAAATCCATATAATAGGTATTCTAACGAGTAACTACTGTTACAGATAAATACCGTTACGATCATTATATGCCAATTATCATTGACAAAAACCTCAACATTACTTCATCTTCCTCCCATAGGAATAAGTAAGTGTATGAAATAGGTCAATCTTAGAATGAATTAATTGCCGGTAATATTCATGGCCATGCTAATTTCACAATTAAATGAATAGTGCAAAATTGAACTTTAACTTAAACAATTTCGAGACATTCATTTTACGAGGTCTGGTTTGAAGCTAAAGTACTTACCCTGTTTCTGGTATTTAAGAAAAATCTTATGCCGAAAAAATAGGATAATAGCTCGGATGGTTAATATAATTACAGTTCAATTATGTCTAATTTATCATTAACTTTTTCCAGAGATATTTAAACGCCTAATAATATCTCAATCTATTTTTTATTATACGCTAATTTACATGGTATGAAACATTCGAAATTAAAATCACTACTTAGTCTATAATTTAAATGGAAGAAAGAAGTTGAATCCCATTCAAATTCAACAACATAAAAGCTCAGAGATGATATTTTTTGCCTAAGTACATAAAATATTATAAACTTGAAAGATGTTCAGTAAGGCAAGAATATAAGTAATATCCATGGTACTGCTAAATATAATTGCACATTTCTTAATTATTAAAGGCTATAGAAGATGGCTTAGTCGATGTTTCGAATTGTCTGAACTGAGAAACCTATCAGCTAATCCCAGTGACAGTGAAGTATGATCTAAAACTGTTAAAATAAAATATCTAATAATTTCACCTACTACAGTTTTTGTTTTCAATTCAAATTTTAGTCAGGAGAGATTCTATCAGTTGCTATTCAAATGGACAGCATCTCAGATTGACCTTTGTATACTTCTAAGGATGGGAATAACTGAAAATAGCGAAAAATTATTTCAATTTCTGTTGCAATGTTAGTCTATTGCTCATTACGTAGGCATGGTATAACTAATCAGATATGTATATCAAGTAAGCGAAATTTTCCGTGAGCACATCCTCTCGCCCAAATTCTTCGTCACCATTGAAGGAGAATCTTAACCCTTAGCAATTTCGCTTTTATCATTTTTACTACTGCCCTATACATTATTTGATAATATTTTTAATCAAGAGCTCTCTCAAATGAGGACGGCAGTCAGTACTGTCTTTTATGCTTGGTCATTTTATATGCATAACTATGAATATTGATTGGAGGTTTTAATTTAGCTTGCGATTAAAACTGCAAGCTGCTTATAGCCCATAATTTAATCTGAAATTTTCTATCTACAATTAAA